TTTTATAGTGCCAAAATAGGCTCCAACGGACCAATGCATTAAAGGGGTGATTGGCTTGATTTAAGGGATTGAATAAATTTGGGATCTGCAGGATATTGGCTTCCCAGCGATGTATGGACATTACCCATCGCTGGTAGGCCAATTTTCCTTCAGTTTTGAAGCCAACGGTTACCTACCCATCGATGGGTACAAGCTTCCCATCGCTGGGTGGGAGGTTGACTTCCAAACAAGGAAAGAATCAACCTTAAATGACTTCTAACGGTCATGCCTTCCCATCGATGGTTTAGCCTTCCCATCGCTGGGTTCCCATCGATGGGTAAAGCTTCCCATCGCTGGGTAAGGGCATTCTGCCTTGTGATAATGTTGGACCAAGGCTTGAACAACGATGGGTAGAGCTTCCCATCGCTGTTTGACATGGTTCTGGAAGTTGGTTTGGCTAAGGGGCTACTTACCCATCGATGGGATGTTCTTCCTATCGCTGGGTGGGTGGTTAGCCAAAAACCTATGGTTTTTGCCTTAACCACGACCTAGCCAACCGATGCAACAACCGACCAAAAAATCCAAAGTTCTCCAAAATAAAAACAAAGTGTTTAAAACACTTATTTGATATATTTGGCTAAGAAATAAAGTGAGACACTTTAAAAATCACGTCATTTGAGTAAAAACCACGGCTAGCCAAGTTTACGCCGTTTTGCGTGGTTTTTGTCAAACGACTAAAAGCGAGAGATGGTTTTCAAAGTGTTTTTGTTGGAGAACCGTTTAAACATGCCAAAGAGTGAAAGCAGATCATAAAATGCTGAAAACCACTTGGTTGGTTCGGATGCCAAAAACCAAACCCAACAACCGAAAGCCGAACGCTGGTTTCTGAAAGCAGAACATTGGATGGCTTGGTTTTTGGTTTGGGCGAACACCAAGTGTTTTTAATGACTTAAACAAATTTGAAAAACGTTTTTATGATGTAAGAAATGCAATGAGAGATTTTAGCCTAAAGAGCCAAGGTGTAAAGATTGGGTCGGTCTTGATCACAATAAAGACCGGCTCAATACTATGATTAAGGTCTTCGTTTAGTTCTTGCTCTTATCTTCATTCTTCGCCTTGTATATTCAATGTTCGACTTGATCACGGCGGTTTGGCATTATCAAAACCTGTTACAAAAACGAACACGGCTTTAGTACGAAAACGTGACAAGCCCGTGTTTCAACAAGAAGGAGTTCTGGTGAGTCTTCGAAAGAATCACTAAATATCGTCAGAGGCAGAAGAAATAACAGAGGTAGTGGGAGTAAGAACAGACAAAGGAGTCAATCGAAGACTCGGGATAGCTCAGGTGTAACATGTTGGAAGTGCAAGGAGGTGGGGCATTTCAGGAATCAGTGCCCGAAAGAGGATAAGCAAGTGAACATTGCTAGAGGCTCCGCGAGCGACGAGGATTTGTTTATCTATTGTGCGGAGAGCAGTGTAGATTCCTAGGTCATGGATTCTGGTGCTTCATTTCATGCTACCCACAGCGGTGAAGCATTGTAGAATCTAGTTGTTGGGGACTTTAGAAAGGTACGACTAGCAGACGACAGAGCTCTTGATGTGACGGGCATGGGTGACATAGTGCTGAAGACCCCAGTCGGTTTCTGGACTTTGAAGGATGTCAGAGTGGTTCAGGCTTGAAGAAAAGTTTGATTTCTGTCAGCCAGTTGGACGAACAGGGACACGAGGTGAAGTTTGGAAATGGGCAGTGGAAGGTCGTGAAGGGAAATCTTGTCATGGCCCGTGAAAGGAAGAGTGGGTCGTTGTACATGGTCGGGTTATCGTCTGAGGGAGTGACCATCCCAGTTCAGAAGAGAAACAAAGTCCGGTTCACAGAGTCTCGTGGGCAGAAGAAGGTTTTCTATGCAAGAAAGAAACCCAGAGCCACAGGTCAGACTTAGGATGAACGAGCGAGGAAAGGTTCAATGAGGCCAGTCCGAGGTATCTGTGGCAGTGGGAGCACATGTTTTGCTTCAGCCAAGGTTCCTTTAAGACATTGGGTCCGGAGAACCAGTATTCCAGCTGTTGAAACATCTCTAGAAAATTTCTTGCTCAGTATGGAGATTGTTTGTTCTCAGGATGTTCCAGGATCCGACAGTGCGTGTGTGCAGTGGGAGCCGGTAGGGACCGAGGATGAGTCAGGAGCAGTTCAAGCCATGACTGATGGGTTGAAACTCAGGAGAGTTTCAACAGAGTCTTCTCGATGATCAAGAAGGCTGGTGGCAACTAGAGGTGGTGGAATTTTGAGTTCCGTTATCAAATTACAGAAGTACATGTGCACAGTTGAAGCGTAGGTGAACATTGTTCCGTGGCTTCAAGTGGGAGATTGTTGAGTGTGAAGCCAGGAAGCTAGGTGGAAGCTAACAGGAAATTGGCAGGAAGCTACCTAGAAGCTTACGGCTTAATCATTGTCTCCTTAACTAATCTCTATTTAAGAGACGCTAATGTACTTGTAATTGTGGTGTGCAACAACAATGAAATAAAATCCTCCTAGTTGCCCCGTGTGGACGTAGGTTGCAATTGGAGGCCGAACCACGTTAAATCATGTGTCATTTATTTTTCTGCAGTTGATTCGTGATTGTGTGTTGTACAACATGAGTACTCTCTGGACAGGTAAAAACTCATGTTTCGTTAGTCATACGAAGCTGTCTACGTTGAAGAATTATCTTGGGACTCAAACATCTCAATGAGATGATAAACCTCGAGGATTCCTAGTTCTACTCCACTAGGTTTTCTGCGTAAGGTGTATATATATACACATCTATAGAAGATGCGAGAAAAAGAGAGAGAAAAGGAGAGTAAATCACACATGTGCGATTGAGTCTATACATCATATAAGAGTGTGGAAGGTAACCAATCATATATGTACACTCTGTTGAGAAGTTCAACCATGAATCTTCTCTAAGGTTGTTCAGTTGCTGTGTTGTGAAAGCTGAGCAAAGGTCAAATACACATCCTCGGTGCAGAGCAAAGGAGAAGGTGCAATAGCCTAGAAGGTGACACATATCAGATTTGTGGTTTGATCTCGTAAGTAGACAAGTCAATTCATTAGAAGGATCTTTGAATTGAGTGTGTAATTCTTACGTGATCTAGTGGAAAGGCTATGACACGGATGTGGGCCTCGCAGATGTAGGAGATTCAGCTCCGAACTGCGTTAACAAATCTTTGTCTCTTTATTTATTTCTGTTTATCTCGTGCATGTGTTGTTGGATGTGCTATAGCTTTCTGTGTCATTCTGGTTACATTTACTGTTGATTCGTGGTATAAGTTATGTTGTGTGAGGGTCCTCAGACTTTCACATATAATAATATAAATATATATTAATAATTTAATATATTATATAATAATATATAAATACATTTATTATTTATATAATCGTATTATTATATATTTATATATTATTATTTACTAATATATTATATTATTAATTTTTTATAAATTAATATTATAATTTCGAAATGTAATATGTAATTAATATTTTTATAGTCCTTTCTATCAAAAAAAATATTAAAATGTCGAGAGAGTCCGATAGAAGGTTCGTTGATATAGGCGTCGTGAACCGAAGTTCGAGGAGAGGCAAAGCTAAATCTACCTCCGACGGTTCGACCTCACGTCGTTCTCAAGGAAGACACTCCGTCTCTTCCTTCCCTAGTATCCTTGATCAATTCGTGGGCGACGCTTTGACGGATGAAGAATTTGACCATTATGTGTCAGGTAGAGCCGATGCCAATCTCGAAACTCTTGAAAGTATATTCAAGGACATTGATGAAGCAGAAATGAACGTGGAGCCTACACCGCACACCAACAATCCTACCGACGTCAACGAGGAGGCAAGTGAGCCCGAGACCTCCCAAGGTCTGGGGAAAGGTAAAAAAATTAAAATCAGATTTTTTTGTTTATCATTTTTCAAAAGAAACAAAAGATGGTGTAGTTTTTGGAACTTGTAAATATTGTGGCACCGTCATTAAAATGGGAATTTCCGGCAGTTATGGTGGTCCGGAAAAACACCTAAGGGCGAGGCAACCCATGGAGTATTTAAAATAGGCGGCGAAAAAGAAGGGGCGACAAGAAGTGCAAACCCAAATTTCTCGGTTTGCTAACAGGGGTAATGACGGCCTTTTTGCTTATAGCGACGAGCAAAATAAGAAAAAAATGGCCGAAATGATTTGTGAAGAAAATTTGCCTTACATGTTTTCTGAAAAACTTGGATTTATTGATTATTGTCAAAATGCATGAAACCCTCAAGCAAGAGTTTTCAAGAAAAACAATTAAGCGAGAAATTATTCGGTAGTATAAACTTGAAAAAAGATATTTGGCAAAATTTTTTCTCAATTTTAATTCTTGTGTTACTATTTTTTCTGATATCTGGGGTGCAATATATCATAATTTGTCTAATATGGGTGTTACTTGTCATTGGATAGATAGTGATTGGATAATGCATAAACGTGTTCTTGCATTTTGTGGTTTCAATGATTCTCATACTGCTGAAAATATTTTTCTATTGCTTCAGCGTATTCTACGAGAATACAATTTAGTTGATAAAGTGTTTGCATTTGGTTTTGATAATGCTACTAATAATACTGCTGTTATTCCTAGACTTAAAGAGTTTGGGTAGATTTCTACATCAAATGTGTGCTTGTCATATTTTAAATTTATGTGTTCAACAGGGATTAGAAGCTTTGGGGGTTTGACGAATATTAAAAATGGAATTAGAAGGATTTTGGGTAGTCGTCTTCATTCGAACTCCTGGAAGTCATTATCTAAGTCTAAGGGTAGAAGACCAATAAAATTTGCCAAAGATATCACCATTAGATGGAATAGTACATACAAGTTGATAGCACAGATTCTAAGCTACAAAGAGGAACTTGTTGAATTCTTTAGGGATGAACTTCTTTTAATGATTTCATCTAATAAATTTGTTATTGTTCAAAAATTGAATGTCGTATTAGAACTTTTTAATAACGCAACATGTTTTTGTGAAATTTTGGCTGATCGAGATTTGTACCCTTGTGTCTCTCCTATGAAAAATAAATGGTGTGATTATTATTTGTACATTCCTGATATTTATAAAATAGGTATTATTTGTGATCCACGCTTTAAGATTGAAAATTATAAAATTATAATTGACTATTACTACAGTTTTTTTAGATGAAAATATTTATTACTACACCCATTTAATTGAATGCAAAAAAGAAAGAGATAATACTATTACTCTTTTTGAGGATTTATTTAAGAAATTTCAAGGGATATAAGGTAATGTACCGGAAGAAACATCACCTCCTCCGCCCCCTAAAACAAAAAAGGTTAAAGGAATAGTCGGTGGGCTTCTTTCAAAAAAAAAGGTAAGTGTGCTCAACCTTCGACAAGTTGAGGTGGTGCAACTATAAGCTCGCACAACGAACACATGTTCCCATGTATTGGAATGCTAGCAAGACAAGTTTTATTCGTTCCGGTATCAACCGTTGCAGTGGAACGAGAATTCAGTGCTGGCGACAACATTCTAACCGACTACCGAAGTTGTCTTAGCGCTGAATCTCTTGAAATACTTATTTGCAACCGAGATTGGCTCTTGGCAAGACGTCGAGTTCAAGAGTCAAGATACGAATTCAATTCCAAACGTTACATGAATGCAACCACAGATGGAAGCCCTAGTTCTGAGGAATAAATTATAAACTTCTTTTAAGTTGATGCAAATATGTAATTAGTTTTTTTTGGTGAGCGATATATAAGCTCCTTTGAGGGTTTCTTTACGGTTCTTTATCTCGTCGCTTTTTTTGAACCATCAGGATATTAATTGTAGCATGTCTAACAGTCGTCGTCTATTATCCCTCTCTTTCTCTCTAGAAAAAATCATTATATATATATATATATATATATATATATATATATATATATATATATATATATATATATATATATTCCAAAAAAAAATTATGTGCTTGATCGAAGAATGAAAAAAATTGCATGTGTCTGTGCTTTTCTAGAGATCGAGGGAATGGAAAGCGATAGAGAAACAGAGAATGACCAACAAGGAGAAAAAAGAAACTCTCTGCCCTCTCTCCAATCGTCAACACTCTCACCTGGGAAAAACTCATCAAACGTAATTTCAAGCTCGTTCGTCATGCAACGAAAATCTGATTCTCTACTTCTAGAGATTATCCTCACAAAACTTCTTCTGCTAGCTCAATTCTAGTATACATGTGCTCCACGCTGCTTCTCGTTACCGATGATCAGCTTGCAGGAGAATATTAGGAATATTAGAAATAAGAAATAAATATTATATTTAATTACTTTCCTTATCATATTACTTTCCTTATTGTATTGTTACTATAGTTAGTTGTTCTCATACTATGTTTGGAACTCTCTCATATAATCCCTGTAAATAGAGAGTACCCTTCAATATTCAACAATACCAATTATTATCTCGTAGACGCCTCGCATACCTCTAGAAGGGGGTGAATAGAGATGTTGCCCAAAAGACCAGTTTTTTTGCAAGGAAACGTTCTTCACGAATATTCAATAAAAAACAAACTATAGTAAAACCTCTATTCACTCTCCCCCCTAGAGGTGTGCGAGGCGTCTAACAGATAATAATTGGTATTTTACAAATGAATTTATATTAAAAAATAACACAACTTACTCCAAGTAAAATAAATAGAATGTACAATTAAAACAATAATAATAATACCTCCGTCACAATTAAAGTTGCATATTTACTATTCATATTGTTAAACTTTATCATCTTCTTTATTTATTTTTGTTATCCATTTGATAAAATAATATAATATTTTCTCTTCTTGTTTTATAAAACTTTTGATTTAGTTTTTAATTATATCAATTGTATAAATTAAATTTTTTAATTCTACACCAATTTTCATATAAATTCATTTGAAAATAAATTTAGTCAATACGACACAACCTATTGTGCAATATATATTGTCTTCGCTTGTAGTCTAGAGGTTCACTTTATATTTCGGTAGTTTCAAATTAAGGGCCTGTTTGGGAATAGCGTTAGAGATTAGCGTTAGCGTTTTGAAAAAGCTATCTACAGCCAGCGTTTAGTGTTAGCGTTTTCAAAGTAATCTGAACCGTTAAAATTTTATCCAAAACGCTAATGGTAATCTCTAACGCTATTCCCAAACAGGCAGAAAGTGTCTATGTTTAGCATACAATTTACTCCCATGAAGAATTACAAATGGAAGCGCTTAATAGAAAAAATGTTAATCGAAAAGATTATCTGAAAGAAGGCCTAAGCTAACTGAAAGCAAAGTGTACATGTAGGGGAGTAAACAAATATTAATCGAATCGGATGTGTCATACCAAATTCGCATCCATTTATTTTTATCGGATATCTAATTCAAATACGGATCTTGACGGATACTAAAAATAAAATTGTATCTGCATCTGTCGGATATCGAATATATCTGTATCCGTTTCCAATTTTTAAAATCATATTATACAATACTTTAATTTTTAATTAAATTAAACTCAAAATATTATTAAATCATTTGTTTTTGTTATGGGATAATTATTAAGAAACCACCCTAAATAGAACTAAAACATAGAAAAAGTATCAAAATAGGAGTTTCATATTTTTATTTTTGAAATAAGAATTCGCACTATGGTAATGTGGTGGTAATTGTTGGAATGCATGTGTTCAACCTTTTCTGTGTTGTTTAGTCACAGGTTTTGATAATTGACAAACACAATTTATTCAAGTCAAGATTAAAGTGCTACAACGACAATCACGAAGACTTGAAGTGTCATTCCTTGAAGTATTCAAAAAGGTGCACAGAATTTTGTTGAAGTCCGAGACGCGTCCGGAGCGCTTAACGGAGGACTCGGAGGAGTAGAAGTTTTCCGAAGACTTTTTATTTATTTGAGTCTTAGGAATTATTGTAAGGATGACAAAAATATCTTCTCTCCAAAATTATTTTTATGAGAGTCAAAATAAAAATTATATTTATTTTTGGAGTCAGTTGAAAAATCTTTTTAACTGTTCAAAATAGTTTTATTGAGTCAGTTACAAAAAGTGTGTCAAACATTTATCAAATATTTATTTTGATATTATAAAA